ATGACGGGTGTCAAAGGACCCACACTGGCCCAAAAAAGCCTGTTAGGAAAGTTGCAGCAAGCAGTGGGGACCTTCTCAGACAGACAGTCGGATACAGAGGGGACATAAGCAAGCGCTGAGCTGTCTTCAACATGCGTCATCAACAACAAAGACTTCCACCTCCGCGATGGCAATTGGCTGCTTAAGCGTAGCTTTTCAAGATTCAACTTTTGACATATTCCAATACGACAGTTCTTCACTTCCTCAAGAGAAGGGAACGCAAAGGCAAGGTTTCCAGCCCAAACTGATCACGTGACAAACCAGTTGTGGCAGAGTGCAGCACAGAGAGAGTCCTTCCCATTTGACATTCTCCCCCAATTAACTTGAGCGGCAACGCCAGCTGCATTTAACCTGGAGTGGGCTGTAAAATGTTGAAAAAGCATGGGAAGAACCCATGCCAGTGCAAAAAGATATGACGGGTGTCAAAGGACCCACACCGGCCCAAAGAAGCCTGTTAGACAAGTTGCAGCAAGCAAAGGGACCTTCTTTGAAACAAAGCTCTCCATCATATGTCATCAACAAACACTTCAGCCTCCACGGTTCTTGAGTAACATTGAATACCCATTTGATGCACCAAGTCCGAATAGACAATTTCTGCTGACCCCCTTTCAACCTTCTCCACACACCCTCCATTTAGCCTTCACAAATACCAGCGTGCAAAGATTCACCGCCGAAAAACAGTTCTTTGCTCAAGGGGAATGAGTGGTTGCAGATCATATGTGTCAACGAACATCTTTGCCCTGGAAATCAAGAACGATTCAAGAGCAGCCTCGCTAAGACTAGGGCTTGGCAACAGCAAAAGCCAGCTTTCAGGTTGGAGCGAATGCCCGCAGCAACTGTACTCGCACATGTTGAATTCGCGACACCCTGTGTCAGATGTCGAAGCATAATTAGGTTTAAGGACAACTTAAAGAGTGATTCCAGGTTGCGTTCTTATGGCGTTGTCTTTGGCGCGGCGCTTCTACGACTTTTTACTATGGTGCAACTTGTGTTTTCCAAAAAACATACATTTTCAGTTCTCGATGCAAGGAAGCCTGCAATAAGTCAAAAGAATGTGATTGGGGAAGAAACATATCCTCATCCATGCTTGTCCACATGCCTTAAGTACCACTCAGAGAGAGTCAGAGAGAGAGAGAGAGAGTCATGTCGGGAACGTTGCAGCAAATCGGGGTACGTAGGCAAGAAATAGGTAGGCCCTGAGCTTGTGTGACATTCTCCAGAGCGGACCTGCAGACCTGAAGAGTTTCGTGACGTGTGATGCCACAAACGAACTTGCCCTCACTTGTGATTTTGCTACTTTCTGTGATGTGGCCCTCTGCTCAAGGCAGCTAGCTATTGGTGTCACGTCAACAGTGTGATTATTTTGCAGAGGGAACTGCCCAAATCAACCTCCTTTTGTGCATAAGAAATCAGAATTTATGGCAACGAAGATTGGCTGCAATTTCTCCCATGCGTGCAATTCTCTTGCTCAACAACATTCATGAAAGCACCGTGCCACATTTGGTGATAGGGATGTCCAAAGGATTGTTGGAGATTGGGCACAAATGAAGCCTCTGCCTGGGAACAGTTGAGCAGGGTCAAAAACCTCCCACGAACCGTTTAAGCAAACTTGTAAACTCCAACTTGCCCGCGGAAGCCAAAACTGCAGTCGTGGAAGCTTGCGGAAGCCACCGCGTAAGGCGTAAGTATATGGAAAAATTCATCATCGCTGAAGCTTTGCGGAAGTGCGCATGTTATTTTCTTGAACCTGATAACAAATGACTCTCTACTTTTTAAGGAGATTTGTCTAACCTAGGAGCACTTTTGAGAAATACGGCGCGGAAGCGCCGCGGAAGAGGACTTCAACCAAACATGGCCCACGGAAGCCAAAACGCAGGCCGCGGAAGCTCCGCGCAAGCATTGGCGGAAGCAAGTCATGAGATAGATCACAGATCGTAGACCGGTTTTTGACACCGCTCAGTTGCTTCAACGTCTGAGACGCCCAACACATGCACAGGCCACCTGTCGTTTCTACCGTAAAACAGTCTTCGGTGCGCAGGGCGCGGCTTGGCCGAATCAGGTGGCCGACACGTGTTGCTTCGCGACGGCCGACGCGAAGCGGCGCGATCAGGTGACGTGGCGCTTCGGCGCTTCCCAGGGACGGCTGGAAGACGCAGCGCCGGATCGCCGTCGGTCCGAGTTGAGCACTTGAACGTGCACTTAGCATGCTTCAGCGGTGAATACGGCAGATTTGGCTTCTTTCTTGAAAGTTTCTGATTGTGAACTCATGGTTTTCCAGCGCAAAGTCCCGAAGTAAAGTCTGTCAATCAAATTGGCTCTTTTCCGGATGCGCAAGCAACGAGAACTCTTTGCCTTTAATGAGTTAACAGTTTAACAATGTGGCTGTGGATCAAAAGCTGGAGCCCCAAACCCTGGTAGGTTGACCTCCCTACTTGTCTATTCTGTTTGTTCTCAGTAAGCAGCATCCTCGGCTTTTGACCCACATCCATGTCGAGGCACTGCACTCGACTGCACTGATCGGAGGAAACAACATCGGGACGGTGCAAACTGTGCGTCCCCACCTCCAGACGTCGTAAAAAAATAAAAAAACACGATAGACCTCGAAAAATTGGATGGGAGGCAGAAGAAGATCCAAGAGTTTCAACTGAGACAGGACAGAACGGAAATATAGGACAGAAACGAATTCGAATGGCTTTTGCTCCCAAACATGTCAGGTATCCCTCCTGTTTGTCCAGAAGAGGTGGCCGGGTTGTGTCCGTTTGGGTCCCGGGATCTGGACGGCGCGTCCTTTCGTAGCGATGCCAGGAGCCCCCGACCGTCGCGTCCGATCGCTCCGTTCCTCGTAAGGCCAGCCCCGATCGTAGCTTCTTGAGCCACAGCAGCTCTGTGGCCATGATTGGCGTCTCTAAAGCAGGCCGTTTGCGATTCAGCGATCATTGAGCTGTTTCTGCGAAGGGAGACCAACCTGGTAGTGCTCCTCACAAGCTGCGTGCTCAATGCTAGACTGTGTGCCGTTTGGGCCTGGAATATCCGCAAATCTGCCAACCTATCAGTATTTCCAGGTATTGTGGGAGATGATGGGCACAGACATTGCCATCACCACCTGGTTCTTTGCTCACGACATTCGGAAGATTGCACTTTCAGCTGGTGTCTTGGACATTCTTTGAGCAGGCTCTTTTTTCACATGTTTGCTAATGGGGTGCTAGATGAACCCAGAAGAGCTCCAGTGTGATCTGGTGCATGTGATTCCGTCGGATGCTGGTTGGGTATCAAATAGGCTCATATGGGTGTGTATTTTAATAGGGAGACCCCCGACCAATTAGTTCGTTTCTTCGAATAGGTCGAACTGGGAGGTCTCCCTATTGTAATACACGCCCATATATGGCCAGAGTTGGCAAAAAAGATATGGAGCCCATTTCGGCCAGGGTGCAATTTTTTTAACCTTCCCTTTCTCCTTCTCTTTCTTCCAGGTCCATGTCTCTTCCTCATTCTCTTTCTCTTTCCGTTTCTCTTCCTCTTGACCGATTAGGCAGTAGCGCGGCCTCTATCCGCAGGGGTCCGGAACAGGCAGGGCCAAGGCCAACTCGTGGGCAACGCTTTCCCTCGAAAAAGATCTTGACAGTCCCACGAGAAGAGAATATATAAGCATTTGTCACGTTTTTCTGCAGATTTCTGTGAATGCGACGGTGTGACACGGGTCACCAGAGTCCTTCAACAGTTCCAGGAACACGCAGGCCCCGCTCCACTCATGCTCCCGCTCGTCGGCCTATACCAGGGCTGATGGATTTCCATCCTTGTCCGCGCTTCAGATTCCCTTGTGAAGCCTCTAGACTCTAGCTGTTCGCCGCCTCCACGAAGTGGGGCGCCACTTTCTGGAGTTGAGCTAGGATCACTTCTGTGGTTGCCCCCCGAAGCAATCTAACACGTCGTCATATGTAAGACATGTCAGGAAACGCTCCTCACGAAACGCTCATGAAACATGCGGGCCCAAAACGGACGACGGACCAACAGGAACGCCTCGCCACTCGTGTTGGTGTTGTCCGGTGTTTTGGGGCCAAAGCCCGCCGGTGTTTTGGAAATTCAATGTGTCCGCCAGACTTCGGTTCTTTCTTCGCATTGGTGAGCTTGCGGATTCCGGGCGGAGTCTGAAATGCGTCCTTGCCTGCAAGCCCGTCGTTTTCCTCTCGCGTTCATCGGTGTGGCGTTGTAAAGTCCAGCAAGCGCAACACTCAACTCGAAGCGTCGGAGCTCGGAAAGGGATGTCCTCAGACACCTCCGGTCTAGCCATCGTCTTCAACCACTGCCGGTCAAGCCATCCTGGGAAATGCAAACCGAAGATGGCCATCAACGCCATGCTCCTGGCGGTCCTGGCTCAAACCTGAAAGCTGGCAGCTTCCCAGCTTATCGCGCTTCCAACCGCCCTCTCCAACTGCAGAGTCAATGTACAAAACCCGTGTCAGCGTGTCATTTGGTCTATCAGAACTTCCAGCCCAGAAATCAAACCATAGTGAGCAAGTGCATCAGCCAGGAGCTACCCACATATATGGCAGGTGGCATAGTGGGATGCCAGGAAAAAACAGGATCTAAAAGAGAGAGCGCTAAAACTGTTGGTTGGGGGCCCGCGCCAGGCCTCCGATCACAGCTGTTGCATGGTTTGGTCGAGGAGGTGACCATACTTGGCATCATAAACCAGTTTGTTGCTACCACACTCGTGCGCGCATGGGAGGTGGCGCAGACAAAGCAACGGTCTGCTCAGCCATGACTCACGTGACAGTGTCTTCTTCAGAACTTATGGAACACACATTTGGAAATTCATGACATGCCTCAACAGCTTGCCCACTGCTCTGCATGTCCCCCGACCGGGCACCCCCTCCACCAGCAAAGGGACGGTGCAACGGGGATCTACCAAGGTCTCGTCCATTCAGTCAGCAGCTTGAAACCTTGTTGGACTAGAGTCATCTCTTGGACAAGGCAGATCAGCCTCACATCCTCGCCCTTGCTAATGACACACCACGCGTTAAGCCGAAGACCGTCGCTGGCCGAATCTGAGCGACCAAAATCACTTGCATCACGCGCCGGCCCTTCTTGGCTGGCAACAGCCTGTTGTCAGGGGACACAGGAGTGACCTGAACCGCGCCAGTCACATCATGACCATGGACAGCACCTAGCTGAAGAAGCGCGTGAAGCGCGAAGTGGCGAGGTCCTTGGCGCCTATCTGTCTATCTCTCATCTATCTATCTATCTATCTATCTATCTATCTATCTATCTATATATATATATATACACGTCGCGCAAACACTTGGCAAAATGCTCCACTGCTGGTAAATGTGGTCGAGCTTTCCTCGCACTTTCTCAGCTCTACTCACCAAGCAAGCAGCGACGTTTGCAGCGTAATGGAAAGATTCTTGCTGCCCTGCTACATTCCCCAAGATTTGCCGGGCTTCCTTTGGCGCTTGAATTTGGCTTTGAGCAAACTGCGGGATCACCTGATTTGGTCGTTCTGAAGCGCTCACATTGGCGCGTGCATCGCCAGGGGAAATATACTGCGACTGCATCGGTGGAAAGCGAAAATTGCCACGGGGCGACTTTCAGGGAAACCGCACCAATCTTGGTACTTATTGCCCTGATTGGTTTTCCGTCCCTTCTCGGGCAGTGTCAAGCGAATGTGCTCAAAACCAACGTGCGAAGGCCTGCTGTGGTGGCTTTCAAGCAATCGCAGTGCTCTACAAAGAAGAACAGGGGGCTTAACAAAGACACCCTTTTTCGACTAGTAGATCAACTTTCTAGCTCTAGATCTTTGAGCACGAGCTCCCTATGTAATGCAGTTTCGCCCCTGGCCATTGTAGCTGATAGAAATGCACCAAGCAGCAGATCAAAGAAAGGGGAGCAACAAACCGAAGTCGTTCAACTGGCGAACTTTAACACTTGTTAGGGGGCGTTGTACACAATGTTCAGGTTTTTGTCCTTGTCGATCAAACAGGGAGTTGGCCCAATGGCTGCACGGATCAACTCAAAATGAATCTAAGGTTCCCAGCTAGTTGGGTGCTTTGAGCCCTTTGACAACCCTGTGCCACCTGCAATCTGAGGACCTGCGTTTTCGGCAAGTTCTTCGGATGACTTCAGAATGCGCGCCTCGAGGGGCACGAGTCGCGCCGACCGCGCTTGGCGCCGATGGCGTAGCTTCGGATTTCCGCGCAGGTCCTGTGCTTTGTGCGACCCGGTAGTCCTTTTGCTCTATGTTGGCGTGTCTCAGTTGACCATGGGGATCATGTGCCGCAGATAGCAGTGGCCAAGAACCTACTTGTTCAAAGTGATTCCAGCGTGGCACTTTCAGTTTGTCAGATGAGTCGTGAACATGACGGAAACAGGACTTGATCCCTGCTTGTTGCGTGGAGTGTAAAGAACCACTTCCCTTGTCCCAAACCGAAGCTGACAACCCCCTTGCGGTTGTTCGTTCACAGGTTCGTACGTGTGGTTCATCAGAAAGTTGTGTGGCAGATGATTTTTTACACCAGAGCAGGATTAGCGCGCAGCGTCTTTTGACAAAACTTGTAACACCCTTGGGAACGTTCACGAATCCAGCGAAAGCCAAATCGATTGAAGTTGTGGTCCAGAGAGGTGGCAGAAAACCAGTGTTTGAGGCGGAGAGGAGCCGATGCTTCACGTGCGTAGCCTAGGCAGCGCCTAGGTGCGACGGCGTGCACCTGGCTGTGGTGCATAGAGCAAGAGGAAGTGTGATCGACAATTGGAACCAGGATTCAACGTTGTGATGTCTGAAATGGTTAGACGTTGGGTCCCAGGTTGGACCTGCAACAGGAAGGGTACACAAGAACATCATCTATTTTTAGAGATGTCGGCCTGCAATCTAACCATCATCATCCACTGGGCCCAGGATAGATCGGACAGACCCAAGTTGGATGGGTCATGATGGATCCGACCAGTCTCGGAATCGATTGACGGCGCTGTCCGTGTGCCGTAGTGACCATGCATCGAAGGGCCCTAGAGTGCACAAGTCCTTTCTGCCAAAGTGACCGTGAGAAAAGAGTCTTCAGGACGTGTGTTGAGTTGACGCGTGTGTGTTGACGCATGTTGACACATGTGTCGACACATGTGTTGACACATGTTGACACGGGGAGTCGCCCAAGCGAAGTCAAATGCTGCTCGAACTTGCAGATGCTTCCAGAGTTCATATTTCCAAGTCAATCGCGGTTGTGAAGAGCGAGCAGTGCTGAAACCATAATAAGATGCACTTGACTTGGAGGTTGCAAGGCTATGGACATACTCAGGTTTGACTTGGCAATCACCTCACTTTGTACTTCCTTAATTTCATGTGGCAGTCCCATGTTCGTCACCTCCGCGAAGTCTGCCAAGTTGAACGTGTATTTGCCACCAGATGTTCGGCCCAACTAGTCGCTCTTGCACAATTGCAAAGGACATTCGCGCCTTCAGCCTTCAACATCAAGAGCATGACGCTGCACTTGGAGCATGACGCATCCATGTTTTCCAATCAGTTTTGATGTGAAGTTTGGCCAAGGCCCCAAAGTTTGGCCCATTGCCCAACAGAGGCAGTGATTCGGCGAGTCTGAGTCGGGCGCGCAGTGAGCCCCAGTCTATGGGACATTAGTTGATTGGAAAAAGGCCACACGAAGAAACAAGGAACAGTAAATAGATAGCTAGTCACCGCCTCTGAGACCTTTTAAGGCATGCGTCGGATGCATCCGGACATTCACCTGCTTGGCGTCCTTGAACTTGCCGCTTTGATTGTTCTGTCCACACTCAGCACGACCTGTGCCTGTCACTGTGGAGTGGTGACAACTCATACAGGCTCGAAAGCCAGAGAAGTTTCATGCAAAGGGATGTGCAATCTTCAATCAACATGCGGCAAAACCACTTTTGACATGCAGCTGTCCAATAATGCCGCTGAACTCTTTGGGACACACTTGACAAGGTTCAAGGCATCACGGTGTGGCTGAGACATCAGGAGATTGTTTTAGAGTTTTCGCATCGAATTCGCCAGTCGTTCTGAGCCCATCAGGATCAAGCATGTAAGGCGCTGAACATTCCAGAAAGTTGCACTTTCTTGCGCTTCGGCGTGCCACATCTGCAAACTCTGTGGTCACGGCTCTCTGAGAGACACGTCAACTTCCTGAATGTCTCGCAAGACCTTTCGCAGCAAAGGCGGGCCCCTCTTGGACGGTCGAGAAGACAGGCAGCCTTCTATAAGAGGCAGTTTTGTTGCGAGGGTGTCAGACATCAACGGAGCCAAGATTTCAGCCTAGCGCTTTTGACTTGCACCTAGCGATTCTTCTTTTTCGGCTGTTAACGTGACCATGCAGCGGAAGGAAGTCCCCCTTGCAAGTCTTGTAGCTACAGCTAAAGTAATTGATCTCAGTTTGAATAGGCTACAGTTCGTCTAAAATTGTTTCTTTGCCACAACGGTAAAGGAGGGGTCCTCACATGTATGAACTGCGTGAATTTCCGCGCAAGAATTGCTGTTGCAGATGTGTCCATTTGAGCAACTGATAATACTCCCCAGCGGCCCAGCCAGGTGTCCACTGTGTCCGCTTGCACCTTGAACGTTGCTTCGGGTTGCTTCTTGCTTGTGCTGGTTAACGAGCGGCTTCGAGAGACGCCGCCGACCACTCGCACATCGAAGCTCCGACCGACTCATTGATGCATGCGGGGTCGAAGGCGGCTGAAAGCCACACGTGCCATGAGGCCACGAGGCTCTCTCTAGTGACCTACCTTGTTTCGGAAAACTCCGGGTCCATCGGCATCCAACGAACGCTTCTTCTCAGCTTTCCCTCGTTCCCCCTCATGAAAATGCCACAGAACGTGACGTCGTCACAGCCCAGATGCGGAGGTTAGGCACGGTGGGCGTCGCCGCTCGATCAGCTGTCCTGCTGGCTTCAGCTGGCGAATGTGGCCAATAGGGTACGGACGCCCAGGGGAACGGACCTAATGACTCTGGATGACTGTTGATGGTTCAACCCGTTCCTGACCGGTGTTTCCAGAGCGGTGACAACTTATACAGCCATCTTTGTACAACTCATACAGGCTCGAAAGCCAGAGAAGTTTCATGCAAAGGGATGTGCAATCTTCAATCAACACGCGGCAAAAACACTTTTGACATGCAGCTGTCCAATACTGCCGCTGAGCTCTTTGGGACACACTTGACAAGGTTCAAGGCATCACGGTGTGGCTGAGACATCGGGAGATTGTTTTAGAGTTTTCGCATCGAATTCGCCAGTCGTTCTGAGCCCATCAGGATCAAGCATGTAAGGCGCTGAACATTCCAGAAAGTGGCACTTTCTTGCGCTTCGGCATACCACCTCTGCCACCTCCGGCGGATTGTTTGCGTGGGCAAACTCTGTGGTCAGTTGACAGAAGCATCAGAACAGCTTTGCTCCATGTCTTCCAACTCAGCTCCAATGCGGTTCGATGTCAAAGCAACACGTGCGTTGCTCTACGTCTCCAGCGGCACGTGCGGACATTCATGAAGACGAGCCGTTCAGGCGCTGAAGAGGATGTGGGGCGACAGATTTGCCAGACAGATTAACTCTGTTTCGGTCTTGGTCGAGCGTTCTGAGACCGTTCGGAATGATTTATCTAGCTGAGAAAGTCTGAGAAAGAGTGGAGTAACTTGAGCCCACCCAAATTAGGGTGTGGCAAAAGAAATGCATTTGTCACATAGCGAGCATCCGTCACACCGCCACAAGTGAACGGTCAGCCCAGCCTGGGGGAAAGAAGCTCGTGATTCATGACACGCCTGAGCAAGCTCTGCAAACGAGCCGTGCCTACACGCCGAGCATTTTTCTAGCGGATGCCAAGCAAGTGTGGGTTTCTGCGTTTCTTTGTCATTCATCCATTGCGTGGCTTGATGTTGAGCCTTTGGCAAAACAGAGCCCAAATATGCCCAGGTGCAATCCTGCCAGATGCTGTTTCTAAGTAGCCATCTGTATCCCAGCGATTACAAAAGAATCCTTTGTACAGCGTGAGTTATGGAAGAAATCCTTGGAGAATATGTTCTCGAGGTTGCAAAACCTTGATCTTCGAGCGTCAAATGAAAGACGGCCCATTGTCCGAGAAAGCATGTAAAAACCACCCAGTTCCCTTGCAAGACAACCGATTCCAAGATTGGAGCATTTCCAGACTTAAAAGGCAGCTGATTCAAGCAAGATTTCATCGAATCCTCACCCTCCATTGTTCACTGCCGAGGTTGCGAACATGAACATTGGAAAGTTGCCATGTGACCACCCAAAAGCCCGGTTGACACGGGTGTCATTTGGACAAGTTGCCATTGTGACTGACTCTAAGTCCAAGCAAGTGATCGAGCATCCATGATGGCCAAAGATAGGAAAGGATGCGACAAGAAGAGGTTCAAATGTGCGCATGCCATTGTCCACGAACTCCGCACTCTAACCAAAAGTTCTCCGAAAGTCTCCCCCAACAGTTCTTTCAAGCAGGCAGAATTAATCGCAAGCGCACTCAGGCTTCTCAACGATGACTTGAGAACATGCAGAAATACATGGGTGTTTGCAGCAAGGCTTGCGTTTGTTCCGGGATTTGGGTGAAAAACAGAGAGCTTGGCCATACTTGGCCATGTCTGCTTATCAGCGTCAACACCCAGTCTGTTTATCACCCATGCCGCTAAGCCGTGTGTCGGTTGCTGCTGGTTCTTCGGTCGGCGCTGCGTTCGAAGAACCAACAAGAGATTTCGAAGCACAGACCCTTCTTCTCCAGAAATGGGAGCAACATGATGTGCAACTTCTGGAACTCAGATTCCCCCGTCGAGATCTCTTCTCTCGCATCGGATTTCCGCACCATACCTGATGTTCCTCACCATACCAGACCACACCCGATTCGCCTTCCAAGTCCCGCTGTTCATTCGGTGCCCTTCACGGCCCGGCGCTCTTTAGAAGCTCAGCCACCGCGAGCGCCAGGTGGGCGCGGAGTTTGGAGAACGGATGCTTGGCATCCTCAACATGGGACATCGGTTTTGTGAAACTATAGGCTTCAAAACGGGCGAAGCGCACGATTTCCCCATATGTCTCCCTCTTTTGCACGGTTCGTCCTACATAGACGCTTCATTCCAGCATGGTCCCAGCGTCCGCAACGTCCGCAGATTCGTGACGATGGGACCATGGCAGCTGGACGACTCGTCGGCGTTCCCACCGGATCAGATCGGTGGGTTTTCGACTGGAAGGACCCGATCAGATCGGTACAATCTCCGACAGGATCCGACAGGATCGGCGTTTCGTTCCCATGGCAACATCCACGCGTTTTCTACATCCATCGCGTCAAACATGGTCATTTGGAATGAAAGGGCTTTTGGTTAGAAAGGTTTAGCACCTGCAGAACAGGTGGATCAGGTCCCCTTCAAAGGCCGGTTGCAATGAGCAGCATCACTAGCTATTCCAGCTTTTCAGGAGAAACATTTATCAATTCGAAGACGGCCTGGAGGTGCAAATTCATCCGTACCATGTCAAATGATGCATGTTTAAACATGTCCAGCTCAGGGTCCCGGATTCGCATGAGATGCTTGCTATCGCGAGTATCCGCGAGTGGTGTTCGAAGCTGCGTGTCACCTCGTCTTGGTTTACAAGGCCAGATGTCCTTGCTCCGAGTTGCATGAACAGACGGAAGAAAATGGCATCGTCCACGTCCAAAGGTCCACTTCTTGCGAGAAAATCCGAGTTCAGCTTTCCTCAGCAGGAACTCGGTCAGTGGGATATCGCCTTTGTCATGTCAATCACCGGCAGAAGGAGAAGGCGCACGAAGAGATGCGGTTTGTGCCTGCAGAAATTTCCAGACCGTTCGAGTTTTTTTGGAGAGACTTTCCAGTCGCAAGATGTTGCTGTCGTGCGGGCAGAAAGAAGTCATCTCCAATCCCTCAATTGATCATAAAGTGTCTTCGAAGTCTAGCACGCATGGCCAAGTCCGCAAGAGAGAACAAGAGAGCGAATGCCGCTGGCTCCTGCAAATGAGGAGGAACAGGTGCGGGAGAGCGTCCGCCATCTGCCGTCGGCGATTCGATGTGTCACCGCAGTTTGAGTGAAGCCGCACGTTGAAGCAGACTGTGTTGAATGATTCGCTGCATCCTTCGTTTTAGACTGTGGTTGCTTGAGTGTTTGATTTGGGGTACAATGGAACCTGAAACACCAGCATGCGAGGCGGCAAAGGGAGCGAGATTGGCCACGCGACTGTAGGGTCGTGGAGTCTCCGATCGGAGCAAACTCTCCAGGAGTAATAGGAACATGACGTGTTTTTTCGAACAGAACATCGGATTCGTGTTGTTTCTTCACGCATTTCTGCGTGAAGAAAGGATGGTATACCTGTCCTTTCTGTCTCCCGTCCAGCAGCATCCAGTTCCGAAAGCCGGTAAAGCTCGTTTGGGAGGCGTTCCTTTACGCGGCCTTCCGCCGCGGCTTGGGGCGGCCGCGTTCTTCAGATGGGACATCGCCAGGAGATGGGGATGGATAGGGTAGTGGATAGGGTCTGTCCGAACTTACCTGTAGAGCCGTCAGTAAACAGTTATTACTATTTGGGAACCAAGGCCTGCAACTGAACCATCATCATCCACTGGGCCCAGGATAGATCGGATAGACCCAAGGGATGGAAATCAATCGGTTGGAAGTTGGAAGATGAAATGGATGAGATGAGTGATGAGATGGTTTTCTGGATTTGGTGGATTGGGTTTGAGGTTATATAGAGATGTGCGAGCACAAAGGTTGTGTTTATTGGGGTCTTCCGATTCATTTTGTGGGTGGTTTGACTTATGACTCACAACGATTCAGGAAGGCCCTAGGCTCCAAATATCTCAGGTAACAGTTGAGTGTCGACAGCAAATGGAATGCTATAAGTTTGATCGTTCGCATGTAAAACCCACAAGCCACGCGCGTGGCTTTGTTTGAGCACCAAATCGATTTCACCTGCCATTGGGTCCTGCTTGCAGCAGACCATCAATCAAGCCTCGACTTGGTGCGAAGCGGTGGACGTTGCCTCCAGGTTTGGAAGACTAGGTGGCGCTTAAGGATGAGAACGTATACATGTTGTTTATCATTTTTTGCATGATCAGTACAATCAATGGCAGTTGTCAAAGAGACCATACTTTGAGTAGTGGATAGATACCAACCGAGAAACGTAGCAACACTCAGTTTTTCTTCACCGAGTTTGTGTTAGAATTTCAGGTTCATAGATGTCAAGGTGTTCTTGACCTTTTGCAACACTGTTTGTTTTGCAACGAATTACAAGGACTGGTTTTAAGTCAGCACTCCCCCCGGTACCCCTATGCCGGATCACGCAAGAAACCTGTCCACTAGCTTGCTAGTCTCTTAAAAAGCTGGCTGGTCAGACCCCAACCTGCTTGGGAAACGGACGCGAAAACGGACAACACGACGCACCGAACGATCCAGGAACAAGCGAAGACGAGAAGACGCGAGGTCGTCTTGACCGATGCGAACCAGCTTCAGAACGACGGCGGGGAGGGGCCCTCGCCATGGTTCTTGTTCAATGCTGGAGCTCGACATAGCTCGACAAGCGTGGAGTTGGCAAAAAATGTGTGAAAGTCGAGCGTTTGGCAGCTAGGCAACCCTGTGGCACATCAAAGTCAAGTTGGAAGTGGTCCAACTCTTGCTGGATGCTGGAATTGCTTTGTAGGAACATCAAAGATGTGAATGCCACATTTGGTCTCACAGATTTTTGGTCTCGAACGTCTGCGGCCGTGCATGGGTACCATCATCATGGCTCTGACAAAAAATAAGGTGCATGTATACATATTTGCTTAATTACCATACGGTACACCGTCACGTGTGGAGCCCATCGCTCGTACCATCGCCTCGTGTGTCACACGACGTGCGCCGTGCCCGTCACCGTGGTGTTTGGGGCTCGACGCCTGCAGACTCAACGCCATGGAGGCCGTTAGTCATGGGATGAGTGTGGTGTGGCGACGTCCCTTCCCAGCCGTTTCGCGAAAACGGTTGGAAAAGAGGTTGGAAAGATCCGGTGATTTTTCTCCTGCGCTTGTTCATGTTCCATGTGTTGCACCGTGTGTTCATGTTCCAAGATTGTTTTTTT